ACAGCTCTCTATATGTTGGGCAGGAAAAAGAAAGTATAGAAATCTTTGTGTCTGTTTTACCCTCAAGTGTTATGCTTGGAGTTTTAGCATGAATCAGATCATTAGAAATTACAATTCCTGTTTCTTAAGATGCTTCAACTTCTGATAGTTTTCAACTTCATGGATACTATCAGAAAGGTTAAAATACAATTTTTCAAGTAAGATAAGTTCAAAATAGTAAAAGCCGAGATAGACTTCTAGCATAGAAATGAAAATTTATAAAGTTTTAAGGTAATTAAGTGTGCTTATCTGTAGAAGTGAAAACAAATCTTTTAAAAATAAAAAAGTTTTAGGTAGTATTACATTCAGGTAACATTCAAGGAGTTTTATTATTTTATTATTCAAGAAGTTTAATTATTAAGATGAAATTATTTATTTTTACTTAAGGACCATTTACACATATCTTACCACCTTGGGTTTAGATGTCCTCTTTAGTTAGTTCTTTTTTTAAATGATAGGGAAAGATATCTATTTTACAAAAAAGCTGCAAAAAATAAACTTTAAGCTTGCCAAAAGCATTCACAGTATATAATTAAAATGTTTCTAATCAAATAATGTATGATAGTTAATCACAGGTTTACTTTTTATAGTTTTAGCCATAATCAATTGTCAATATTTTCATCTACTAATAACAAACTAGATATAAAGGGCTCCTAACAGTTCTTCCCTCCAGTGCCCACCCCAAACTATGCCTACATAAGAAGAAAAGAAGAAAGATACTAAAGTTATTTTTAAAAATAAGACTAAACTTTAACATTTTAAGGAAATCTTAAATTTCAAGGAAAATATTATTTTTAAATGTTTGTGTGTGCATCTGTGTGTGTGTGTGTTATCTGAAAGTACTGCAACTAGTTGTAATGTTAAATAAATCAAAACTACTAAGTTACACTTGGGATTTAATCAACTTCCCAATTCAGTAGCATCAAAAGAAAAGAAGACAACATATGGGATTTTTTATTAATTCTTTGACAAGAAAAAAAGAGAGAAATTCCAGTTAAATTATCTGAAGCAAACAGCTATTAAGTGAACCCATTCTGTTGAATACCTTCCCGACTCCCAATACCAGCTCCCTCCCATTTTCCACTGTGGCCTCTGGAAAGCATATCTGATTACAAACAAGGTCTCTACACCCTAGTCTATTCAGTCTCTACCTCTGCCTGAACAGAAACCTGACCCCTCACCTAGGAAACTGCTTCCCTTGCAGCCCTCAGGAATGAAAGCTACTCATTCTCCCAGACTCCATATAATTTCCCTTTAGTAGGCAAATCCCCTCTCCCTACTTTGAAGATCAGATCTAGTGGCAATATCACTAACCCATCATCTATCTGTCCATCCAACAAATACGTACTTAAGTGCCTGTTACGTGCCAGGCACTGTGTTAGCTATAGGCTACAGAACAGTAAATCCTCATAAGGGTTAAAATCTAGTGAGACAAATATGAAACATAATTACACTGAGGAGGGGGACAAGGCCTAAGGCCATGAATGTGAGGGCCAGGACATGCAGGGCCTTGAGGGTCATGTTAAGGACTCTGGATTTTATTCTAAATGCAATCAGAAACCACCGATAGAGTTTCAAGGCTTCATTCCTCCCTGGAGTCATTACTCATCCACTCACATTTAACTAGGATGCTTGTCCTTCAGCTCTACCCAACGCCTTCTGCATCCCAGAAAGCTTCACACCCAAGGCTTCTCAGCTCAACATCCTGGACTCTAGTGACCTCCAGCTCCTCCTAAAGCAGGATTCTCTCCACTTTTTCCTTGTCCCAAATTACTCCCCCTCTGAAAATCAAATTCCAGTATTCCATTCTCAGGCCATAACCTCTCACCAAGCCTACTCTTCTTCCACTCTATACCTATCATGCCTGTCCTTCAACCTTTAAATTATTATCTGACTAGAAAAAACAACTGAAATATAATCTCATCAGAATAAGTGAAAAGTTACTACTATTTCCTCCACCCCTACCAAGGCATGTAGGCTTTTCTACACCTTCCTCCATGCCCATATCAACATATGTGAACTTATATACACAAATGGAGAGATGCTTGTTTTGATTACAAAAAGGGAATCATACCTAATACAAAATTCTGTGACTTTTTTTACCCTAAAAATAAAAATCATACACAAATCTCAGGCCAGTAGATATAGACTGAATTCATTCTTTAAAGTGCTGCACATTGTTCCAGGTACAGATACTGCCCGGGGTTCCCCTCCAACGTGAACTTCACTTGTTTCTGCAACAAACTTGCTGACCCCAGAAAACCTCGAAGGAGACTCTTCAGTGGAGTAAAGTGCTTCCATTACTGGTAGTTGGAAAAACACTGATACTTGTGACTGAAAAAGTCTGGGAGCAGAATGGCTGCTCACAGCACCGCAGCGGAGGGTAAGAGGTTTCAGGCCCACGAGTATTGAAGCCACCACTTAGTTTGATACTGCCCCAGAAATGTGCAAGGCAGGCTGCTGGCAGGTACTGAGGGAAACACAACCATGAGCAGGCAAGGAAAATTAAAACTCACTTACGGCTCTCGCTCTCGGAAAGAAAGATGGCCAACACAATAGAAACAGGAGATGCCTGCTGAGGTAGAACCAATGGAAGAAACAAGAGAATTTTAATGAACACAGAATGGAATTACAGTGCTGAAAAACAAAAAAATGAGAAAAACCCCACCACTTTCGGGAACTAAAAATCAATCCTGACTTATTTAGAAATTCAGTACCCAACAGAAAAAGAGAATGACTGCCCTTGAGAACCATGTAAGTGGTTAGAAAAATCAGGTGGAAGAAATACCTCACAAGAAACCCAGTGACAGATACCCTGAGGGAAACGGTGAGCTGCGTGGAGGTCAGATCCAGGAGACAAATCAAGGAAGAGGAAAGGAACATGTGGAGAGGTAATAATCCCATAAATAATGGAAGGAAACTTAGAACTTAAGAAAGTCATGAGGCCCTGAGTATCAAGGATAAAGAGAAGATCCTGCCAGCCTGTTAGTACTGTGGGAACAAGGGCTTTTTGGGATGATGGGAAGTTGGAAGCAAACACTGCTTGGGGACTCCAGGAGACTGACTCTGAACCTGACGCTGAGTTTGGTTCACACGTCAGAAGAGCAGAATGTCTGTGCTTAATGTTTCACATGGAAACATTAAGCACAGAGATTGTTACAGTTCTCCTGGCTCCCACAAACTTCCTTTATTATTCTGTGTCACTAGCATCTGAGTACTAACCTTAGGGACTTTGCAGTAAGACTTTTCCTTCCACAGTCCAGATGAAATATTGCGGGGACCAATTTTTAAACGCCATATGCACAAATTACTTTGATAAAAATTAACAATATAAAAAAGAGAAAGTATTCATAGATGAAGCAATGCATGCTTGTTAAAAGAAACCATTACCTTTATTTATGAAATATACATGAAGGTAGTACAGTCATAGTTAAGAGCAGAGACTCTGGATGCCTGCTACTTACTAGCTGTGTGACCTTGCGCAAGTTACTTAACTTTTCTGTGTTTTGGTTTCCCGAAGAGTAAATCTAATTAATAGCACCTTTCTCATCAGACATAAAGATTAAATGAATTAATACATGTACTACACTCAGAACTTTGGCACAGACTAGTACTCAATAAATAACAGCAATGCTGCTGCTGGGCTACTGCTGCTGTCACAGCTTACAACAGGAGAAAAGTATTGTACATAGAACTTTTAATTTTGGAGTCAGAAGGCTTGAGTTCAAATGCCAACTTTAAAACCCAAAGAGTTTTATATCACAGCCACAGAAGTTAATCCCTCTATGCTTACATTTTGTCATATCTAAGGGAGGAATATGAATACCTCCCTCTCTTAACACCCATCTATCTACCTATTCACAAACATCAACTGAGTATCCATATCAGGTATTATGTGGTAGCTGAAACAGAATCATAAATAAGATACAGTTCTGCCCTTAAAGAGTTCACAGTCTAGTGGGATATACTCAAGAACCTTAGTTTTCTTTCACGTGAGTATTTCCTAAGGCTGTCTTTGCCGTAGGAGATGAAGAAAGGACCACAAGGGTCAAGCATGTGTTTTAGTACCACAAGTACTATGATTTAAAATTAAAAGGCAACTCTAATATTGTTGGCAATTGTTGGGAAAGAAATGTGGCCAGTTTCTGAAATTACTGTATTTTGCTATTTTAAGAAAAATACTATGAAGCAGTTGGGTCACAGGGAAGTAAGCCCCTGCAGACGATATGGCAGTCTTAGGAGTCAGGGGACCAGAGATAAGCAGGCCCCCATTTCTGGTCAGAAGTGGATAAAACACCTTGGGGGGACTGAGCTCTGTTCATAGGCTGGACTGTGTAGTACACAACTTGCCTCTTTGAACAATATTTTGAGACCTGAGTGTTCTTTGAATAAACAGCTCTCAAGCCTTTCTCTGCGAGAAGTCACTACTACTTGATCCCTTGTCAATTACATCCGTCCCCTTTTAGAGTATCCTGCCTTGACACATAGGCTAGGAGATTACAGAGAACATGTTCTTGGTAGCTCTTCTACGTCATCCCAATAACAAACACCTTATTCTAAAGCTTCCTGGGATTAAGAGTGTTTATTTTGATCATCCCATGTGAGCTGGCCATGCGTAGGGGTGGGACAAGCTATTCCCCTTTAATCTTTCACTTAACTCAGGGGTTTCAGAATGTCTACACTAATAATATCAGACAATCACTAACATAAGATGAAGAACAAAAGAGACTATGAATTTATAGGAGAGCCTAAATGCCTATTCTTTATAAAGAAACAATGCATGCCAACATATTTTCACCTGTTACCGTCAGTTGGCATTTAGTAGCCATGACTTAAAATTCTATATTTAAAACCTCACAGGAATTATAATGGCATCTCTGCATATTTGAAATAATATTAAGTACACTGAGACCTTTGGTATCTTTAGAAAGTATGCAATGATATCATTATTAAAAATAATATCCAGAATATTTTCCTTTATTATATTAATATATAAATATACAGCACCATAATGTAAAACAATTACATACATTATTTAAAATCATGTATTTGGCTCATAATTGGCCTAGGTTTATTACAAATTCACTTGAATAGTTGCTACAAAGAATGATTCTGGCTTCTTTTCTGTGTGTAAAATATTCCAAAAACCAAAATAAATTAAATAGATATTAATCCAGAGCTAAGTGAAGATTATCCAGCAAAAAAGGAATACTAACATGTATCTTGTTTTAAAGTTTCAACTGGATAATAAATTATGTTTCAAAAATCTTTACATAAAAACCCTAATAGTACCACCCATAAATCATAAAATATAGCAACAGATAGTATATTTATTTAATTTTTATCTAATTACTTTTTAGACTCATAGTAAAAACCTATTGCTTATAGAAAATAAATCCAACAATTTATCCAAACATTGTTACATAAGAAGTTTTAAGAAACTGTAAATAATTCTTAATACTCTCATTTTGATTCTCCGACTTTTCAAGACTATGCTGTATTTCTTTCAAACATACTTCCTGATGTTGTGCTTTCTAAATAAAAAAAGAAATAAAGATAATTAATAATGACATTCATATCAAAGGATAGTCATAATATAAAATTTATATACACAATAATTGAATACATGGTTTTTAATTTTTTTAAAGAAAGAATCCTAACATCTGATGTGTTGATTATTAATTTAGAGCTCACTTTTCTTTAAAATCTAGAATAAAGCACATACATGGTTGATCTCTACTGTGACAGAGTTTGTTGTAATACACCTTCACTTAGCCCCAAATTATTACATATTTAACCTGATTAACTCAAATGAATTTTACTTAAAACTATTAATTTCTATTACATTTAACATGACATATTTTAATACTAGTTTTTGCCATTTTCTTTGCCTAAAAGAATGACTTTTGCTATCTTAAAAACTGATAGAATTCTAGTTTTGATAATATGAATATTTTATTTTTAGAATCTTTTAAAAAATAAAATGAACTCAATATCATAGGTATTCTTTGAGGAAAAAATTTTAAATGTAATGTATTTTTAAAATATTCAGCTGCATATAAATTCCCAAGAGATCTGTTCACTGAAAATACTTTAGATAGACAGGCTGCAAATATCATCTAGTTTCCAACTAAAATGTAGGCACCTTGAGAAGAAAAATCTTTTATATCCTTCCTATCAGGTGTTCAATGACACCCAATACCTTGTGAAACTGAGCGATGCCCCCAGGGGAAGTGTGGTGGGTGGTATGAAACAACTTGCTAGGCTGAGCTACACAAAGTCACAGAATGGATATAGTGAATCTTTGAGGAACATCGATTTTACTCAACAACTTGGGAGGGAAAAATATTAATACAAACACACATACTGTAAGGTAGAAAGCAAAATATACATGGATTTTAGTATAATATATAAGACTCCAAAGACATGTCAGGCTTCTTGGTCTGAGGTAAGCTGCTGAGGGTCACCCTTGGGTCTGTGCAAGCACTCCGCCCTCCCCCGGAGCACCTGGGCAGAAAATCTGTAGAGGCCTGCCACTGTGGGCAGGGCACCCTAGAAGACACCAGCATACAATTAACTATGAGACAGCCTCTCAGGGTGCTTACAGTTCAGATGGAGCTAAGCCTTGTATACAAAACAAATACTGAATTGCCAACTAAACTGCCCTCTGGAAGGGAAAGAACTCATAAACCCATTTTTCAGCAATGTCTAAATCTATGGTTAGAATTCTAGTTTCTTACTACTGTAAAAATGATCAGGTTTAGCAAAACATCAGATCTTAAATCTACCTATTTTAGCAGCTTTAATATTCCCAAGTACTGGGAATATTATAGCAAACACACCTCATCTTAATACTTATTTTATTTTTTCAGAAGTTTCAATTACACAAAGAATGTCACACATATTTTACAACAGAAAGTCTGACAGTGAGTTAAAAAAAAAAGTTTTGAAATAAAGGGAAGGCCTGTGCTAAATTAAAGATGAGAAATGTTTTGTTCTGATTAAATTGCCATGGAACTTTTGATGGCAATAAAATTAAAATATTGCACGTCAAAACTCATTTAACTTTTGAACCTTTCAGGTTTTCAATGATTTAGATGCTTGGGAATGAAAAAATAGTTTTCATGGAGTTTGGCTCCTGGAAAAAATAAAGTATTATTTCCTGTGTCACTGTTAAGTAGATAGTTTTCAAGTAATTCAGTCCCAACTAGTGCCAGCTTTCAGTTTGTTATGCCATCTGACTGTTTCATGAATAGTTAGGAAAAAACATTAGAAGACTAATTAAACACAGCCAATTTGGTATTCTCATCTCATGGCTGAGTGGACCAAAGTATCCACTTCACATGCAGATATAAAATGTTTACTTAACACCAACTTATAACTTTCTAAAATATAATATGCATTATTTAAGACATATCAAAATCTAACTCATAATAAGTGTTTATCTTAAAAACTGAAAAACTCATATTAGAAAGAAAATAAGTCAATGATATCTGTAACTTTCATTAAGCATTTGTCATGTAAAAGTAATATGCAGGGAAAGGGCCTGATGAGACTTCGGGGGAAATGTAATAGATGCTACCAAGGATGCAGGATAATAATTCTTTGCCCAAATGCTGACTTTTTTTTTTTTTCTTTTGCGGTACGTGGGTCCCTCACTGTTGTGGCCTCTCCCGTTGTGGAGCACAGGCTCCGGACGCGCAGGCTTAGCAGCCATGGCTGACGGGCCCAGCTGCTCAGCGGCATGTGGGATCTACCCGGACCGGGGCATGAACCCGTGTCCCCTGCATTGGCAGGCAGACTCTCAACCACTTCGCCACCAGGGAAGCCCCCATTTTTATTTTTTATGATTTATATTATTTGTTATTTTTAATACTATCAGTAAAGCAATAGCCTTGATTCCCCTCACTTTGTATTTTAATTGTTTATAACTAAACTCCAAGGTAAGAATGCTAAATGCTAACTTATTTTTAATGAAAATACATTAAGCCATACTAATACTTACACTGTTCATTTTGCAAATAAGTTGATTTTGTTCTTCATTTTTCTTTCTAAGCTCAGTTTCCAGATCTAATATTTTAATTTGTAAAGCCCTTTCTCTAGATGACATTTTCTCTATTTCTTCAGAAACCTGTAATTTTAATTAAAAGAAAAAACTAAATGTGCTTTCTTTAAAATATGATTTAAAGCCTTGACATCGTTATACTGTATCACTTCTTTCCAAACAGGTATTATTTGGATATTAGACAATTTAATTAGAAAGTGTTTAAAGATGTTCTATCTTGAGAAACGCATAGTGTAAGCATGTATTCTCCTCTTTGCTGTGTAAGTACCTGAAAAATTAGCTTGAAGTGGAAGAGGTATACGTATTTGCACTGCTCTGTGACGTTGGTAGGTTTTCCCCAATACTATATTTCTATAACCTGTTGACCAATTGCCATGTTTTACAGTATTTATATTTACCATGGTGTCTGGAGTGGTGGTGGGACATATAAAGTCCACAACCAACGCTGATTATAGACTTGGATGGACAGAACTGGGGGCAGGGTAGGTGATATTTACACCACACACACACACACACACACACACACACACACACACACACACACACGAGATTGGTTTTTCATTCATTCACTTCCAAAATGTTCTGAATTTGAGTTTTCATATTTCTCCGATGGCTTATTTTAGCAGAAAGTCTAGCTTAGCTACATTCATCCAAGGATTCAGATACTTGGGAGCCTATCTGCAGGAATGCTGGGTTGGATCCATAAGAATGACAGTGGACGCAGGGACTAGTTCAGGAGCAAGGAGCTAGTAGAAAGGACTGTCCTCTAATCTCACTCCCATGGACTAAGTTCTAAGTTATTATAAAGTTATTTACAAAGATTTCTTGTGCACAAATTCCAAGGGTGATTGTGAGGATAGCAGGATTTGAAGCTGTGGGAGAAAGGGCCCTCAGGACAAGTATCTGTGTCCTTTACAATGTCCAGCAGTGTAGACAATGGTGACAGTGCAGTGATGGCACTCCTCATGTGGTAGGAACTAAAGACAATCCCATATTCCATTGTAGCAGGAAAGAAAGGAGAGGGCAGACACATCTCTGGGAACTGAACTCTTGTGAGAAGGAATCTGAGAGCACCTAGCATTTCCAAAGTCCATTTAGTCTGAACCCAGGATAAAGTCACTTCTTATTTTCCTCCCAAAGGTTGGAACTGAGAAATCTGGATCACACGTCTATCATTGGCAGTACACTTTACTACTTAGCTTTCATTCAATGATGTGTCTTTCAAAGTCAATTTAAATTGCTTTCCTGGAGTTAAAAAAAAAATCAAAATATATCTATATGACACTTACGATTTAAGAGCCACATTTCAAGGATATCAGATGTTATCTCACCCTTGTGGAACTGCCTTTAACAGGCTTGGGAAAGACCATGGGTGGAAGAGAGTCTAGACAGATAGATTCAAAATTTGGTGCTGGACATGTTAAGTTTGAGATGCCTATGTTAAGTGGAGATGTCAAATAAGTAGCAGAATATATGAATTTAGATGTCAGGATAGAGAAAAGTCTGGGGCGGAGATATACTTCTGAGAGTCATCAGGGTATAGACAATCTCCTTTTGGCATCATTCAATCCTATGAGGAAATTCATCATCCCCATTTTATCAATTAAAAAACTAAAGTTTAGAAAGTAGCTTGCCCTGGGTCAGGGTATAATGTGTCAGAGCCAGAATTCAAATCTACTTCTTGTGGATTCCAAAGCCCACCTCGTGTCTTTCAAGATTACATTTTCAAATCACTTGATAAATTTACCTCTTCTTTGAGATCTTCTTGAATCATTTTCTCCTCCTCTCCAGATTGAACTAACCACACTCCCTTGGTGTACCTTGTATCTTCCCTGCATTGTAGCACCTACTTGCTGGATGACATTTGTTTGTTCACATGTTATCTCCCTACTGGACTGTGAGTGTCCTGAGAGCTGAGGCCAGGTCTTATTCATCTTTGCATCATAAGCACTAGCAGAATGCTTGACAGACAGTGAGATATGTATTAAATGCTATCCAGATGGATTTAACTGGAAATTAATTCTTGTCTATTTATTTATACAACAACATTTGCCAAAAGAAAAGGGAGTTGAGCTTTATAGCACACTGAATCCTGATCAAAACCAAAAGGTTCAATAATTTGCATATTTGCTGTGGTTTCATTTAAAAAAAAAAGAGGGGGGACTTCTTTAAAGTGTTTTCCATCTCTGCCCTTTACCCTGCCACATCATCATTTATTTAGTGAAGTAACTCTGGACCAGTAATCTATCTGTTCAGCTCCAAAAGGGAAAAGCAGGTAAAAAACAAAAATGTAATTGCTCCCTTCACCCTGTCATCAGGATAAAAACAATAACTGTAGGTTTGGCAAGATGAGATATTGTCTGTTTCAAAAGATGACTCTTTGGTAAACTAATTAAAAAGTTTCTGAATAAAGGCCATCTGTACCTTTTGTCTTCCTTCTTCTACAGCAGCTTCCAGCTGTCTGGCCAATGCTCTATATTCTGCAGATTTCTCTTTAAACTCAAGACTGGTATGCTTAAGACATCCTTCTTGGTTTGCCAGCTTCTTTTCAAGCTCTTTATTTTCTGCATCCATCTGTTCTAATTTTCTTTTTACAGAAGACATATATTTTAAAATTATACTGTGTAGAAAAAAAGGTAACACCAATTTTAAGTCAATTTAATACTTACTGTTTAAGGTTTTCACATTTCAACTGAATAAGATAATTTTCCTCTTCCAGAGAAAGCTTTGTCAGAAGATCATGATTTTCATCAACCTAAAGGAGAAAAAAGTTTTCTTGGTTATTTTCTTTATAATCAACTTCCAAAGAAATCTATATAGTTTATCATTAGAACAATTATAAAAAAGAAGAAGGTATAAATATTATTATTACTCCTATACAGAGAGACACCAAGAAATATTACATTGTTAAAATACAAGTTCTTAAATTCCTGGTTAATTAAAAAAAAACTACGTTGCCTCATGGAAAATCTACGAAAAATTTTACTGAAAGATGGCAATTAAAACATTCTGAGTAATGTTTTATTGAAAAAGAACATTTATTAAGTAAATGTGAAGATTTTAAACAGTAATCTCCTATTGTTGGATACTTAGGGTTACTCTTACAGTTTTCTGTTTCACTTACAGATAGTGATTGATAATTGAATATCTGTGAAGTTGTAACTCTGAGTAAAAACCGTATTTGTGAGAAGCAAAATAAAATAGATAAGCAAATCAACCAAAGACACACCTGCCCATGCCAAGACAGAATATTCTTCCCATTGCTTCAAAAGCTATATTTAAATAGTTTAAGATGTTTTGAAAAATAAAAATAGAATTTTTCTCATAATTTCAATTAGTAATTTAGGTTATCTATGTGATCTGACATTTTCCTAGAAAGATCTCTTTTCAGGAACTTAAACTCAGCAAAGTTTTGTTTGCCTGTTTTTAAAATGAGGATGCATTTCAATATTAAATCCAGATTACATTTGAAAGATAGGGAATCCTTCCTAAAATTATTCTGCAGATAAAGAAAAAGACTTGCCACCACCTTTGAACAAGCTTCTTTGAAAAATAATTAAAAAAATATTTATTGTTTACTATGTGCTAGGCACTGAGTTAAGAGATGGCTGTATGACACCCACGATCTCTCTTCTGATGGAGTAAAAAAAGTATATGTTGAAAAAAATAATTGAGAATAATACAAATAAACTTGGTACATAATTCTAATTGAAATAAATTCTAGTTTTTGTAAGGTAAATTACAATAATTTACCTTATCCTAACATCAAAAAATATACATGTAAACATAGCTTTGTTCCTTCACTCATGCTATTACTATGTCCTCAAATGTCTAAATACAGATTTGTATGAATAAACTAAATCAGCAAATTTAATTACCAATATTTTAAAAAATACCTTGAAAATAATATAGTATTTGCATGAAACTGACCTTTTATCAACTTATTTAGATGAGAGTAAAATAATCACCCCCTGACATGAGTGCCCTCAACTGGTGAAATTATTCCAAAGCATTTAACACATCTAGCAAAAATCAAAATGATGGCTGGACACCTGGCCCTGAAGCTCCCTAATGGCGTGTGCTTGGTCTGCACATTTCCCCTTGTGGTGCTGCAGGCTCTCCTGACACTCATGAAGCCTCTGTTCTGCTGCCGTCAAGGAATCGCGGTCGTGCTCTAACTCCTTCAGATGAGACTCCATCTGGCCTCTCACCTGAGTTGTAGCATTAGGGAAATAAGTGCAAGATCACACATTCAGCATTAACGTTTCTACTATCTTAAATACTAGATATGCTTGCAATATAGTAAATGTTTTAGGTATAATAGTTTTTTTAAAAAGATTTAACCAAATAAATAAGAATAAACTTTAAGTTAGCCTCTGCTAAATAAGAATGTATGACTCAAAAGTGGGCTGGACTTCAATTAGTTTCCAAAAAGTTTGCTGAATAAACGACTATGGTAATATTAGCTCGCAGGGAGATTGTTTAAATTACTTAGGAAAGTAAACTTTTTTGAATTCTGTCATTTATATTCAAGTATAGATATTACTAAGAAAGCTGGTATGGTAGTTTTCTGCTGTCCAGCCATCAGGCTAAAGTAACTTTAGACTCTCTGTCATTCGATCTGGTAACTCAGATATTTCAATTAGAGCAGCCTTGCCGTGCTCAGCTTAGTCCAAATCAGTAGGTTTACTGTATATAAATTCAAAATAGCTAATATCATCAGTACTCAGTAGACTATAATTTGATCATTAATGTTATATGTTACTAAGAACAAATCTAACTGTATCTATATTAATCTCTTTGGCTGCTGCAATTCTTCACTGTGGCACTTTTGTGGAGATGTGACAAGAAGCAGCCCTAAAAAAATGCTTGTACTGCTAGTTAAGAAAAAATAACAAGACATAGGGCACTTAGGATGTTCATAGGGAGGGAAAACAAGAGCTAGACTCTTTCCCTGAGACAGGAAACACACAGAGCTGCTGTGCAACATCTGGCATTCTTGATCACAAAAGATAAAAGTAGAACAAAGCCTACCTCTGGATCCCCAAACATCTAAGAGCCCATGAGAAAACCAGGAGACTTAAAACAGTAGGAAAGAAAAAGGATGCATTTCATTAGAAAAACAAATAATAATGGCTTGTCTGGTTTAATACCAGTAAGAAAACATTGTGACCTCACAGTATTTGAAAATCACAGGCTCCTGCCCCATTGGCCTTTTGAATAGGCTTTTTAAATAGACATTTATTTAGAGTGCTGCCTACAAAAGAGGAGATATTTGCATTGGTATGTCTCATGAGAAAAACTGATCAAGAGGTATGAAATGATTTCTTCTCTGCTCTGCTAAAAATAGGTGAAAAGTATTGATAATTCTAAGTAGTAAGTTGCACATTTGATAGGCTACCTTTATCTCTTTTAACCAGCAGAATGTCTGCTCTGGCTGACCTCTTTCTTCTTCACATTGGTGCCTCACTCAGACTTCTCAATTCCAAGATGTGGGGACGACCCAGAGACAGTCACCTTATTACACTCAGTTGGAACTGACCAGTAACATCCCATGATGTCCCCAGCCGGGAGTCAGGGGAGTCAGCGTCCTACAACTTTTGCTGCTTCCTTACCAAAACAACGTGAAAAAACCCAAAAAGGGATGCAGTTTCATTTAAAAACTTAAAAATATTCACAAAAACATCATAACTTGCCAACACTGAACTTCCCCTCATTCTTTGGCAATAGGGTGAAAAAAAAGTAAATGATGTTGGGTTTTTTAATGTTATTTTTCTTCCATAAAAGCATTTAGCAGAGAATATTTACTTTGCTTTTGTACACAAAAGATTTACTACCAGAATAAAAAGGTAAGATTAAAAATGAAAGGTATTCAACTTTGCATGAAGCTCAGGGACAAATAACCATTTTTTCTGCTACTTAAGTCTGCTCTTGTATCAGAAAAATTATACATTTATGTTATTTCCCAAATATTTTGGAAAAAGTAAAAAAAAAATATTCACACAAACAAACATTTCAAGCCTGGACGAAACGTCATGTCCTTAGAAAACAAACTGCCACAGAAATCGAGAACAGATAATTTCTAGGTCTAAACTAAAGAAAATGACCAAAATTAAAGAATTTATATAAAATTCATAAAGTACAAAACATACATAAAACATTATTTTATTGTTTAAAATGTCAAACTTACCTTCTTTAATTTTTTATTTTTGTTTTTTGTTATTAGGTTATTCTCTTGTAGCAAACGTTCACATCTGCTTTCCACCATTTCAGCTGCTTCCTGCAACTTCTGTATCTGAAAATAAAATATATTATTAAAGTAAGATGCATTATTTTATTATTAGGACCCCTGTATGAAATAAAAAGCTAAAAAATTGAATTTAAATTTTACAATTTCAATTTTAAACCCATTATCATTTTCCTATTAATACTCTCAGTATGTTTATCTAATGTTATTCCTTCTTTAAATACAGGAATCACTCAGTGCTCTACTCTAATCCACAATCCTTTTATGATTTATCTGTCTTTTCCCATCAATACTTCTAGAATCTTCACCTGAGCTCTGAATATTAGAGAGAGATCCTCATTTGCAGGCCCACGTCACTTTAAAGAATCAGTCTCTGGTCCAGACTAGCTCCCAAACCAATTATTTCACACTCCGAATCAAAATCTGCTTTATACAAGGCCCAGAGTCAAGAATATGGTAACTCATCTACAGTATTCTTGATGGGGGATTAAACCAGAACAACCAGCTGGAAGACCCAGATGACATTCCCAGTAACGCACTGCACAGTCCATCACAGCCTCCATTCTTACCTCCAGCTGGGATGACGGCAATATTCTAACTGGATGTCTCAACTCCAATTTTCTATCTAAACCATTGGGATGGAGCGCTTCCTACTTACCTACATTATGCCCCTCCTTAAGTTTTAACCTTTAGTTCATTATTCTTCAATTCAAACACTCTCTTCCAAAAAAATCAAGCTCTTTATTGACAGTTTGTTACCCACTCAAGGACCTACATAAGTCCCATCCTTCAAATGAAGTTTTTCTTAAACTTTCTAATACTTAAGCTTTTCTATAAATTACCAATTAACACACTCTCTATTCCATACATATTGTCATCTGTTCTCTTCCAGGTCTTTCATGTGAGTAAATCTGAATTATACTTTATTTATTTGGAAAGAGGAAATATTGTGCTTTAATGACCCTTGAAGGGAGTCATTATTCTAAATCAATACCATTAAAAATACAAGATGACAAACATAACCAAAATTAACTAATAGGATTATTATAGGTTCACATTACACCTATGTAATTAATTTTAGATCTACTTTTAGGAATAACCAATATAAACACAGGATATTTAAATCAGGAATCAGCAGAATCATCATTTTATAAAAGTATTTGGGACCTTAAGAAATATTTGGGATATATCATATTTTATCACAAATAATAACTCCACCTTTCTTCAGTTCTGCTTTTTTACATCATAAACAAATGCAGTGTTTTAAATTATCTACCAAATTTAAACATTAAAATAAATGCAATGATCACCTGAGCTTTATAAACTTCAATAAGAGTTTTCTGTTGTTTTTCTACTTCTTGCAATTCTAAGAGCTCATTTTCAACAGAGGCAATCTCGTCCTTCAAAGCAGCTAGTGTAGTCTATTAAGGAATATATAAATAGATTTTATAAATCATTAGAATTCATTTGTACTCCAGTGCCATAGCATTAAAAAATATAACTCATTTATCAACGAAGCTAATAAAATAATTATTTCTGATTGCATATAATTACCATCTAAAATTAGGAATTTCAGGAAGTTAGTAATATTTATGAGCAACCTTAATAAGACTTATTCAAGACTTTTTTTTTTTTTTTTTGCAGTACGTGGGCCTCTCACTGTTGTGGCCTCTCCCATTGCGGAGCATAGGCTCCAGACGCGCAGGCTCAGCGGCCATGGCTCACGGGCCCAGCCGCTCCACGGCATGTGGGATCTTCCCGGACCGGGGCACGAACCCGTGTCCCCTGCATCGGCAGGCAGACTCTCAACCACTGCACCACCAGGGAAGCCCCAAGACCTATTTTTAAACTTTAAAAATTTACTGATGAAAAAGACTTGGAAAATAGAAAGACCATGTTCCTGGAAGGGAGGACTCAATACTCTTGACATATCAGTTTTTTCCAAATCAATAAAACTTTACTGTAATTACAACCAAAAGTATAACAGTTGAGGGGAAGAGGAATATGACAAAATTAATTTAAAATTCATATGGAAAAATAAAGAGACTAATAAAAATTTTAAAAGATACTAGAGAATCTCAGTACTTATTAGATATTAAAATGTATAAAGAACTAAAATTATTAAGACACTAACATAATAATATAGAGGTCTATGGAATAGAAAAAGAAAAATACACTAAGATTATATTTAGTGTATGACAAAGGTTGGATTTTTGAATAAATGGGGAAAATATGGATCACTATATAATGGTAATAAGACAACCATTTATTAGGAAAAAAGCAGATTTAACTATTTGCCTTCAGCAAACATGGTTTTTATATTAAACAATTATATATTTATTTTAATGTATTAAATATTTAAAAGTTAAGCTTAAAGTTTTTCACAGAAGATCCAGGTAAAATTTGATTTGATTTTAGGATAGCAAAAACCTAACTAAGCATAAAATCAAAAGATGATATCATGAACTGTAAGAGTCTGAGATTTTATCCTCCAAGTTTACCAGTTAGCCTAGCACAGTTTCATGCATGCTAGCAGAAGACACAAGACTCCTGGGTCAGAGTCTTAATTTCTTTATTACTCAAAGCAATAGCAGTAGCCAGATATTAGCATCTGTGTTCGTTTCCAAAGCCCCACTTCCCGCAGAGCAACACCAAGAGGGCCAGATGACACCTGTACATGCAGTGGGTTGTATACAGAAGCAACTCTGAGTTTAGGGAACCCAAATCTCTTATAACACGTAGTAAGCATGCCTTTTGGTAGAAGGAAACATTGTTATCTTCCAAGGATGTTCACTATACAAACATCCTTGAAAAGACAGTCTGTATCTGGATCACAGGCAGTCAGATGTGCAGAAATGTGAGACTCCCAGCAGAAGCTGAAAAGGAAAAAAAGATATACACACACACACACATACAAACACACACATGCATATATATACATGCATATGTACATGTACATATATCTCCAAAATTTCATAGCCCCTCAAGAAACTAAAGAGCCTAACAAAATGTGAAAAAAGTAAAAGATTATGACAAAAGATTAATACAGAGAGAGGTCTTATATAATAATTAGGAAAAAAGACATGCAAAAGATAATGAGTAGGTAATTCCAAAAGGCAGAAATGTAAATGATCAACAAATACATGAAAAATTATACTTACTAGTTATTAAAAAATGCTCTAGGCAATGGATAGTCTTCTAGTAGTGAACATAAGAAGCAAAAATCCCTTCCATTGTGAGCTTAATGTACTCCATGTATAGATAGACACAAATAAGGGGTATATAGACAAAAAACAAGAAGTAAAATATATCATACACAAAAGTAAGACAGTAAGGACAAGTTGGGAATGGGCCAGGGAGGCCTCCTGAGAAAGGGACTTGGGAATAAACACCAAAAGGAAGTATGGCTCTTTGAGGGAAGAGGATTCCTGTAGAGAAAGGCAATGGTGGGAGAAAGCCTGGCCAGTTAGGGGAAAAAGCAAGAAGGCCAATGTGGCAGAAAGCAAGAAAACAAAGGGAAGCGTGGAAGGATATGAGGTCAGAGAGGTAATGGAAAGCCAGATAGTGTAATGCCTTGTAGATATTTACTCTATTAATCAAGGTATCACTGAAGGGTTTTGAGCAGAGCAGTGACATGGTCTGACTTACATTTTTATAGGAACTACTTTACTGCTACACTGAATGCTGACTGCAGGGGAAGGGGCAAGGGCAGAAGCAAAGAGAAGAGGTAGGCAGTCACTATAACAATGAGACATGATGGTGGCTTGAACCAGGATGACAGTGATGCTGGTGAGAAGTGGTCAAATTCTGGATATATTTGAAGTAGATCTGCTGACAAACTGGAAGCAGGTGTGAGAGAAAGGAGTCAAGTAACAGAAAGGATGACTGCCATTAACTGAGACAAGGAAAACTGTAGGATGAACCATATTGGGGAACATAGGAACTCTATTTTGGACATGATAACTTTGAGACACCTATGAAATATCCAGGTGGAGATTTCAAGTAAGCAGTAGAATACATGTCTGGAATTCAGAGGCAAGGTCTAGGCTAGAGATATAAATTTGAGAGCCCCCAGGATATAGATGGTATTTAAATCCCCAAAACTAGATAAGATCACTTATCAAATTTGGAGAGATTTGTTTTAAAATTGCCTAGTACTGGAAAAAGTATAGGGACCCATTTACGATGGGTGACCTGGAAATATATAAAACTAACATTAAGAATGGGTCTTCCTTTTGACCATATGATTCCACTTGCAGAAATTTATCCTAAGAAAATATATATGCAAAAAGACTAAACGTATCCACATTTTTATTTATATTATAATAGCAAAAAAAAAACCAACCCAAAACTGGAAGTAGTTCACAATCCCCCAAATTATATATATATGCTAAAAGAGTAACTTTACTTATTTTTCAGTTGTGAGATTATAGGTGATTTTTAAATTTTTCCTTTTGTGCTTTTCTGTTTTTCAAACTTTCTATAATAAACAAATAGAACTTTGTAACCTTCCAAATAACTTTTGTTGTTTTTAATAGAGGAGGTCACTGGGGTCCTAGAAACAGTATCAGCTAGTATCTTCTTCATTTGAAACTAAAATCTAAAATTATTCTAAAATAATTGAAAGTAACAAAATACAACATCTAGACAATTTTACATTGTGCATAACATATGCCAAATATACCTAGATGTTTTTCCTTAAACAAAATTCAGAGAGTTAAAAATACATGTTTTTGAATTATTTATAGAATATAATATATAAGCTTTAACTCAGTGATTTTTATATGTAATTTAAAATTAATTCCATTACCATGTAATTAAAAACCAGACTTAAAATTAATGAAATATCCTTCTAATCCCCTCTCTGAAGGATATCAAGGAAATTAAGAAAATAAACATAATAAATAAAATTGCTTCCTCTTCTAGAATAAAATGTTTAAAGAATTAATTCAATAAATATTGAGTAAGAGCTAACTATATGTCACACCTCCCCTGATTATCCTGTGCATACAAAGATGGGAGTTTATGAGGAAAGATTCATCCTAATTGAGAAGACTTTGGGAGGAAGCAGCATTTAAACTGAACTTTAAAGGAAAGGCAGGATTTATATACTGAGAGAAAACGCATTCCAAACTGTAAGAACAGTAAAACTACAGGAATAGAGGAAAACATAAACAAGTTGCAGGAAATAAGAAGTATTCGTATTTGGCTAGAGTTCAGGATAACTAGAAGGCTACATTCTCTAGTCTCCCCTGTAACTAGGTGGGGTCATATACCTAAATAAGGAGAAGAGTCGACTGGTATGGAACTTTCAGGAAGTCTCTCTAAAGAGGAGAAGATGGGGAAAAAGGGGGAGATAATTCTTCTTTTGTTTCCCTCCATCCTGTTATTTGAATCTTGGCTATAATGGATGGAGCCCCATCAGCCATTTGAATGGCAGAGTAGAGAGCTAAAAAGTAGCTAGGTTCTCCGATGCCATACTGGTTTTGAACTGCCAATTCTGGCCTCCTTTTCCATTAAACAGATTCTTTTCTGTCTTCTGTTTACTGTCCTCCAAAAACAGTATTAAGGAACTGAAAATGATGCCATCATCTTTAGTCAAGTCTCATCAGGTTACATGTATCTATGACTAGGAACTCAAATACCCTTTTCCTCAGAATGTATAAAAGCTTCTTCCCCATCTTTACTCTGGGTACACATAAAAACCAATCATCCCTTGGATTTGACTAAGTTGGAAAATTCTTTCCGGTTATGAAGCAGCCAAGAACATACTTTCTGGTTTCAAACGGACCACGCCTGAGGCTATATCCTATTGTAACCGTGACACCTAGAAATAATCTTATGCATTAAAGTTAATGTAATTTTGGATGATTCACCTAACTGCTAAATTGGAGAGTAAATAAACTTTTTTAGGTTGAGACAAAGAGACAGTTATTCAACTTCATAAATCTTAGTACTGCTGAAAACAACCTTTACATGTATTTGTATATACAACTATAAACATCTAAATATCTCTATATAAGTATGTGTGCATATATGTGTACATACAGATATATAGATATAGTTTTAGAAGTTACTTATTATAATGATATTCTAAAACTCTTGAGAAACATAAAGGAAAAAAATGATACAAGAGCACTACTCTAAACCTGCTGTTATTTCAAGTTACTTCTACTAAGTAGACTAAGTTGTCATTATACTATACATATATACATAAACACATACACATAGTACCTTTAATTTTGTATTCTCAAGATTCAGAGTTTCATTTTCATATTCAATTGAGTGAAGTTTTCTAAGAATTTCTTCGCATGAATTTTTTCCATGGTCTTCCATTTTCTTCAGGTCTTCCAAAAGATGAATGATTTGCCTTTATAAAAGTCATAGAAATTTTCATTCAAACAGTGTGTTTCTGAAATTATTTTTGTAGGGTAGTTTCAAAAGTTACTAGAACTCATACAGCAAAGGAAATAGGAAGCCATAATCTATATATAAGGTTACTACTACTGAGTAACTGAATAGAAATAATTACCCATTGATGACGCCAATGAAAAATTACACAACATTCTCTTCGCTAGTCAGTAGAACATCTAAACTATGATCCACAGGTAGGTCTGTCTTTCTATCATTCATACATGTGCACACACATACACACAATTTCAGGGAAAAGGTTAAATAAAAGGATCAAGTGAGGCAATAAATAATCTTTAGAAGCAAATCATATACACTAGTTTTCAATGATAAAACTGAAGAAAATATACAGAAAGTAAAACATTCAAAAACAAATATATAGTTATTTATTGTTAGCTTAATAATAAATTACAAAGTATAGAATATATGTATTTTTACTTCCCTGGTGGCACAGTGGTTAAGACTCCATGCTTCCAATGCAGGGGGCCCGGGGTCGATCCCTGGTCAGGGAACTAGATCCCACGTGCATGCGGCAACTAAAAGGCCCACCCACCACAACTAAGACCCGGTGCAACCAAAAAAATAAAATAAAATAATTTAAAAACTTGCTGTCGTTGCTGATGTTGTTGTTAAAAACATTTTTAAAAATCTGCTTATATATAAAAAATATATTATACTACATATATAAATATATTATATATAAATATATGTAAATACATATATTTATAAAATATGTGCATTTTTTATTTTTCTTTGTTATGCATGTAAGACACTTTAAGGAACAATAATTTGTGAACACCAATGCAGTTTTAATGGGTAATCATATTTATTGTATTTTTAAAGTAGACTAAGAAAAGTTTATTAATTATAAATGGCAAAAATAGCCAATCATATAGAAAACAGCTTTACCACATGTAATCCATAAGAACCAAAATACAAATTACTCAAGTTGGAAAGAACAGAAAACACTTCTTATGAAACAGTAAAAAGGCTCTAAATTTTTTTTCTTACTTTTTCATTGTTTCGATCTGAACTTCCAATTCAGTTTTTTCTATTGCAATTTTCTCATAATGACTTTTCCAGACGTTGGAAGCTGAAACTATTTCAGACAACTTGGCTTCCTAAAACATACATAAAGTACTCATCTTGTAATTTCATAACACTGGTTTTGTCCAGGGTCCTAAAAATAAATACATTATAAACAAGGAAACACTCATCCTATAAAGTATGGAACTTTTGTTACAGAAAATTTCAGTGTACAAATCTGAACACAGGAAAACTTTAAAGTAAATTTTAATAATGACTTGATAATACTATTACTTTATATGCACATAGTGGCAGTTCCAACTTAACATATTAAGGATGTTGATGGAACTATTTTCAAAAAATGTTTCATAATTACTGAAGATAATTCCCTTTATATTTACTGAACTCTTATTTGTCTTTCTCTGTTGGACTTATTTCATGTAGCATAATACCCTCCAAGTCTATCCATGTTGTTGCAAATGGCAAAACTTCATTTTTTTTTATGGTTGAGTAATAGTCACCCGTGTGTGTGTGTGTGTGTGTGTGTGTGTATGTGTGTGTGTATACACACACACACCACATCTTCTCTATCCATTCATCTGTTGATGGACACTTAGGTTGCTTCCATATCTTGGTAATTATAAATAATGCTGCTATGAACATTAGGGTGCATATATCTTTCTGAATTAGTGTTTTCAGTTTTTTTCAGATAAATACCCAGGAATGAAATTGCTGGTTCATATGGTAGTTCTATGCCAAGCTGTTTTGTAGAGTCACCCCACTGGCTTTCAAACACTAGTACTGTCAGCAAGAAAGTAAGAGTGGTAGTGGTTGGTTACCCACTTTGAATGTGAGCTACCAGAGGTAGAAATTTTTGTCTGTTTTGTTCATTACTAGGGTCTTGAACAGTGCCTGGCATAAAGCAGATTCTCAGTAAATAACTGTCAAATGAATCTACTCTTTACAAATCCACCTAGAGATCTGTAGCCATTGTACCCCTTCTCTACAGTCTACAGAGAAACAAATTCACTAGAATGACAACAGTGCCAATAATTATTAATCAGAACTCAGAAGTAGTGATATGAACAGTTAACATTTATTGGGTGTTTCCTTCTTTCCTTCCATCATTTATGCACTCACTGAACAAGTATTTATTCAGCATTTATTATGTGCAAGACATTTTTTGTTTATATTTTTAAAGCAATATTTTTAATATATTAAAAAAAGACTAGTTTTCTGTTTTTATATTGTATGTAAATGAATATTAATATGCATTATAAAGTGTAAGTTGGACAATTATATTAGAATATAAATTAAGATATTTAGAAATTTTACCTATAAAATAAGGGCTAAGAAGAAAATTTAAGACCTTGATGCAATTAATTGTTGTGGGACTACTTCTAAAGGAGTAGTCAAGGAAGGCCCCTCTGAAGAGATGTCAAGTAAAAAGATACCAGAATGATTTTTAAAAGAATCAGCTATTATTGAGCCTGAGAAGAACATTACAGCCACAGGCAACAGCACAAAACAATGAAACAAACACACTCCATGCATTAGAGGAATAGAAAGGAGGCCAATATGGCAAAAATGTAGTCTGGCCAGGCACTGTGCTTTGACATATATTTTCTCCTTTATTCCTCCTTACAATCGTATGAGACAGGCAGTATTATTATCCCCTATTTTATCAATAAGGAAACTGAAGCTTAGAGAGGTTAAGAAGCTTACCCAAAGTCACAAGGTTAACAAATGGAGAAGTCTTCCTATACTATGATCTGGGGCGTGGGTGACATGGTGCTAGTTAAACAGGAAAATCCCAAGAATGTTAATGACTCAATTAGTTTTTACCACTCAAGAATATTTTCAGGCATTCAACTAGGCCTACAGCCTTATAGATTTTGCACTTAATGCTCAATTCTTTCATCTAATTAAATTCTTCTGAATGTAGTTTAAATATTAAGAGTTATAAAATGTTAACAGTTGAACTTATAAAATATTAGGTTGTTTTGTTTATACAAGCATTTATGCAAGTCTGTTTTCATTTCTAAAAGCCTCTGATAATTCTACAAGCCACAGCGTAAGTTCTTAAGAGGTAGGATACCAGTGAGACATTAAAAAGAGTAAATATTTTATTAACTGGTAATTGAATAAATATAATTCATCAAAAACAACAAAACGCTAAGTCCATTTTTCAACTTTGTTAATACACCCAAAGATAATTTTCACATGGTGGGTTTACGTCAGCAAATGGTTTTAAATGCATTACGGAGTTTAAGTGAAGTGAATTACTGAATAAAGTCATACGGTCTAATAACATAAATCAGCATTTCCCAATCCGGTATTCCTCAGAACCAGTTCCAAGAGTTGCTTTGTGGGTAGAACAAGAGTTCTGTGGTTAAATAAGTGGTGGAAAACTCTGAATTCAATACCCTCCTTGGTACTGCTTTATGTTTTCTGAAGGCCTTCTCAGAGCCTTTAATATTATGTTAATGTGCTTTAATTCAATGTTAATATGCTATTAGCACTGAAGTGGTGTTACCCTTAGTTGACCACAGATGCTTTGGGACTTAACATATCCTTTAAATAAAGCCCCAAGGAAATGCTGATATAATTCAATATGCAAATCTGTCATTTTACGTAATCTTTCAAAATGAAGGCTAAAGCAAAAATGTATGAGTAAAGTTTTTCTAACAAAATTATTGTATTAAGCATTATGAGGTTAACTACATAAACTAAGTACATAAAACAATTCTTTAAGTAAGAATGTATATAACTTACCTGCTCTCTAATTTGGGAAGTAAGGTTTTCCACGTCTCCAGTAAAATGTTTAATCCTTTGTTTGTAAATTTTAGATGCCTTTTTTAGAGCTATAGCTTTTTGCCTACTTGATTCTTTCATCGTTACAGCCTCATGCGTACTCTTTTTCAATTGCAAGTTCCATTCTGATATTTTGGTTTCTAAGCTCTAAAAAAAATTAGCAGTAATTAAATTATTTTAGAATGCCAATGTTTATATAAACATTGTGAAAATATGTAAAATCTTCCACATAGAATTTATCAAAAGGATTAATCATAAGATTAATAAAAAGCAAAACAGTGAAGAAAGGTGATTTCACCAATGTTTATTTGTAACCAGTTATAGAATGCAAATTTAAAATGTATAAACCTATATAAAACTATATAGGTTTAGTTTATCAATTAGGTTTAGTTTAGTAATAGGTTTAGTTTAGTAATATTACTCTTACTAAAGATACTAATATTGGTGATTACAGTAAAAACACTAATTTCCTTAAAACTTTTTTGATTAACTAGAATTTTTAAAAATTTCCCATCTAGATTATACATAGTACTAGTTACTGCAAATCGAAAAAACATAATTTAGCTGGAGACAATTCAAACAACAGGTACAAAAAGCTCAAAGGAATCAGTAGCTCCCCAAATATATTAGGACTCTTTAGTTAAAATAATAAATGCTTAAAGGATATATGATCAAAATCTATAGATCATGAAGAGTATAGATGAGATAAACATAAACTTATTTACCAAATTTTAATTTACTAGAATTAAGGAGCATGCTTTGACATTTGAAAGAGTTACATCAAGGACAATAAAAGTACTACTTTGCCTAATAAGTAGTAAGTTTGTGGAAGTTATTATTCTAAAACTACACAGGGTTCAATAAGAGTTGGGATAAAAAAGTTAGGATTAAAAAAAGGGTAAAAAGATGTTTGAGGGCATGTTTCTATCCATTGAATTTGATAGTGTTAATTGACATAACTGTTTCCTTACGTATTTCTTGAGGCTATAACCAGACACAGAACATTAGGTTGGGTGAAAGATGATTTAGTGTGATAACTCTCATGTTTTCACTTCAAATTATCTTAAGACTTTCTATTTAAAAGTATTTGAGTACTAACTATCTAAGAATTTAAAGACTTAAGATTTTAATGCCTTAACATTTTTTGAAAGTTGTGTAATTCTGAAAAGAATGTAAAATTATTACAGAATTTAAGTTTTAGTCTTCCATTCCTTGGACATTTTAATAAAAAAAAATTAAAGGACAGTAAAAGATGGAGCTTTTCTACTTTTTGATCAACAAAAAGTATGCTTAATTTCCACTAAAATTGAGATTAAGAAGTACATGCAAATCAAAACTACAATGAAATATCATCTCACACCAGTCATAATGGCCATCATCAAAAAATCTACAAACAATAGGGCTTCCCTGGTGGCGCAGTGGTTGAGAGTCCGCCTGCCGATGCAGGGGACACGGGTTCGTGCCCCAGTCCGGGAAGATCCCACATGCTGCTGAGCCGCTGGGCCCGTGAGTCATGGCCGCTGAGCCTGCGCGTCCGGAGCCTGTGCTCCGCAATGGGAGAGGCCACAACAGTGAGAGGCCCGCGTACCGCAAAAAAAAAAAAAAAAAAAATCTACAAACAATAAATCTGGAGAGGGTGTGGAGAAAAGGGAACCCTCTTGCACTGTTGGTGGGAATGTAAATTGATACATCCACTATGGAGAACAGTATGAAGGTTCCGTAAAAAACTAAAAATAGAACTACCATATGACCCAGCAATCCCACTACTGGGCATATGCCCTGCGAACACCATAATTCGAAAAGATACATGTACCCCAGTGTTCACTGCAGCAGTATTTACAATACCCAGGACATGGAAGCAACCTAAGTGTCCATCGACAGATGAATGGATAAAGAAGATGTGGCGCATATATACAATGGAATATTACTCAACCATAAATAGAAACAAAATTGAGTTATTTGTACTGAGGTGGATGGACCTAGAGTCTGTCCTACAGAGTGAAGTAAGTCAGAAAGAGAAAAACAAATACCATATGCTAACACATATACATGGAATCTAAAAAAAAAGGTTCTGAAGAACCTAGGGGCAGGACAGGAATAAAGATGCAGATGTAGAGAATGGACTTGAGGACACGGGGAGGGAGAAGGGTAAGCTGGGACGAAGTGAGAGAGTGGCATAGGCATATATACACTACCAAATGTAAAATAGCTAGTGGGAAGCAGCCGCATAGCACAGGGAGATCAGCTCAGTGCTTTGTGACCACCTAGAGGTGGGATAGGGAGGGTGGGAGGGAGACGCAAAAGGGAGGAGATATGGGGATACATGTATATGTATAGCTGATTCACTTTGTTATAAAGCAGAAACTAACACAGCATTGTAAAGCAATTATACTCCAATAAAGATGTTAAAAAATTAAATTAAATTTTAAAAAAAAGAAGTACATCTTAAACAAGATCTAAAGACTTGATCTCTTTGAAAAGTAACTTGGTAGACTAAGAGAAGAAGCAAAACATTCCTCAATTGTCTTTAAAAATCTATCTAAACTAAAAAATCCCACGAAACGTTTTAATACGTAGTTGGGGAAAACATTTTAAATAAGTATGAAAAGTCTACCTAAGAGAAGCGAAGAACGCTCTCCACCAACCCAAGAAATACAGCTGTCATTCCTCTAAAAAACCACAGGGTGTCATCATCACATCATGAATAACAGCTACGCTGTCAGTTAAAAAACCTTTATCACTAAAGGTGAAATAAATTTTTTTGAACAAGGTTCCAGTAAAGACTTTCCCACTAGATTTATCAAATCCCATGCCTGAACACTATTAGGAAGTGTGCTGAAACTATCAAATTATTTTTATAGTTTCAAAATAACCCCTTCACAGTCATTTGCCAAATGAATGGACGTATATTTAGAGTCAACTATTTGCCTTTTCCTATTTCCTAAGAATTATATTTGCAGCATATTATAAAGATAATTATTCTCTGTCTCTTCTAAAATGTGAAAATATTCTAACTCTAATTACTATAGTTTAAAGATCTAGGAAGAAAAATGAGTTAAAAGTACCTTTGGGGTAGTTCTCAGAGAATTATAATGTAATTAAAAATTTTAAAAGACCCAATACAATTTTTGAGTCATCAACAATACTAAAAAAATGAAATTTATATTGCTAAACTGAGTTCGTTCATTGTGTTTGTAGTCTTAAAGAAAAAAAAAACTTGTTAAACCTAAATAAATTCCAAAACTGTGTGTCAGAAGGAATGTAAAAAAATCCATGACCTAACGCAACTTCTTCTAATCATTTCTAAACAGTAGCATTTTGTAAGGGGATGTGAACTCAAAGTATTAGACGGGTGAATATCATGGCAAAACTTAGGATTTTAGCCTTATATTCACTCTCCTAATTATCTAAAAAGGAACTGTTAAACTTAACTTTAAAAAGTTATTTAATATTTTATTTTTAAACTGAAGAAAGTATTTTCAAGAACTTCCCCAACTTCTATTTGAGGACAAAATTAAAAATTGTGTAAGTAGGATAAACTGAAGTATATGATCTGAGATGTTAAATTACATGTATTCTCTTGTATTTACCATGACAGAGCAAGGCAATTTCAACTCTAGTTCATCTGCAGTGCCCTAGGACACCGATGCAAAAAACACAGGGAATCTTTGAGGGAAAGTGCTTAAAAGCACCTGTAGGCAGACAAAAGACAAAATTTATATCCCACATAAGCCTGCTTAATGTCCCTTTGATGGGCAAAAGCTTTTTGCCATTGAAGAAAAAATAAACAACCCCCCCATATGCAGTCTTGAAACATGTGCCTGGACTGCAGAAATCTGCCATGATTCAGGAGGATAAAAGCAAACAGAAATTTATTAACACAGAAGTCCTCACGCTCAGTGAGGTTTGTCTTTACACACTTCTTCCAAAAGCGAGAACACTGCTTTTCCATTGACAAAAATAACGACAGTAGATCCAGTTAGCTTGTGTCATACCACAGCAACCTCAAACTCTCATCTCAACCTCAAACTCTCATCTCATCTCATCTTGTGAGACTTCCACAAGAATATTTAAACTGCTCAGTTTAAACCAGAAAATTCCTCTTAATTATCCTGCTAAACTGTGTAACAAGGAGGTTACTCAATTATCTAAACACCAAGGCAAGGTTAACTGATCTTAACATTATTACCATTAGTATACTGTCTGCTTACTAAATATGGGTGAGAGTATGTATGTATATGTATAGATGCATAAAAGACTAAATACTATATACCAAATATTAATGGTTTCAGTATTTTAATTTTCTCTTTTATATTTAACAAATTTCCAAATTAATTTTCCAAGTTTATATAAATTAACTGATAATAGGAGAGATTTTTAAAGTAATTAGAACTTTATAAATCCTTCCCAGATTGGTACTAAAAAGTCACAGCATTTTTCTTTTTTTTATATTGGTATTTGGAGCCAAATCTTTAGACAGACCAGAAATCTTAAGATTTACCTCAAATATGTAGTTCCCATGGCAACACTTAAAATTGGATTCTTTCAAAACCACTAAATTCCAGAATTAAGCAAAGACTTTATTGTTGTCCATTAGTTTTATCAATTAAACTATAAATATGGGTGAATATTTACAACCTTTATGTGTTCTTTTAATTTATCATTCTCTGCTTCCTTTTTATGAATTTGGAACTGTAGTCGTTCATGTACTACTTTTACTGATTGTGACAAACGGCTTGCTTTCAAAGCATTTGCCTATAAGAGAAAACAAAACAAAGCAAAAATGTGTTATTTGATATATTTTTTCACAATATTAAACTTTACCGTACTAAGACATGATCTAAAAAGTTGCTAAAGAGCAAAGTACAACACTTCCCCAATTACAAATGGATTTTATATAAAACCAGGGGGATGTTTTCTCCTCCCCTTTTTTATTTAATAACTCCTAATTATCTCTTTTTAAAAGTTCCTGTCTATCCTTCTAAGTAAAATTATGGGTATGTCTAAAATGCTCCTACAAACACAGAAATTCCTTAATTTATACTAAAATTGAAATATATATTTATACATAGGTCCCTGACTTAGGCCAAGTACCCTGATTGAAATACCACAAAAATCTAAAAAGAAAAAAAAACTCTAAAAAATTAAGATATTATATTTGATGCATAAACTTGTAAAAATGTCCAAATAATCTAAAAATATTTCTATATGTATTTATGAGGATATGGGGGCCAGGATGGAAAGAAGAGAAAGAGGGAGTCAATATTAAGAAAATTTGACGAATTAGCTCAAAATTTGCTTACCTTTTCATTCTGAAACAAACAAGAAAGTTCTTGGATATAGGTCTCCTTTTCAAGTACCCTCGTCTTAAGATTCTTCATCAAATATAATGTAAAAGTTAGAAATATCACAACTTGGATAATGTTGGCTAATTTTATAAAACCAACCAGCATACAAACAAAAACTTTCAGAAAAATAGACACCAAGTCTAAAAAGACTTACAGTGTTTTCACTTTCATTATCAGCTAGCTTATCTAACAAGCTGGATAAACTGTCCCCTCTCTGTGGAAAAAAGAAGTTGTAAATCAGTGTTCCCAAACTATATTTCTCTACATAAAAAAGTAGAAAATGGAATAAGCATCACTTAAGAAATTAATATGGACAACTACTATGCATAGTTCAGTTTTTTTAAAAGTTAACCATAAGAAAGATTTTTGCTTAAGTGTTCCAAATCAATTTTTAATCCATAATTTATGAAATCAATTAATTTACTAAATTAATTTCTAAATAATGCCTCATAAAGTACAAGCCAATGAAATAAAAATCTTGTATACAAAGAAGGCTCACAATGCTGATTGTAAACAGGTAAAAATTATAAACAGCCTAAAGTCTAGCAAAAAGAAATGTTTTAAAGAATTACAGCAGGGGGCTTCCCTGGTGGCGCAGTGATTGAGAATCTGCCTGCCAATGCAGGGGACACGGGTTCGAGCCCTGGTCTGGGAAGATCCCACATGCCGCGGAGCAACTAGGCCCGTGAGCCACAACTACTGAGCCTGCGCGTCTGGAGCCTGTGCTCCACAACAAGAGAGGCCGCGATAGTGAGAGGCCCGCGCACCGCGATGAAGAGTGGCCCCCGCTTGCCACAACTAGAGAAAGCCCTTGCACAGAAACGAAGACCCAACACAGCCAAAAATAAATAAATAAAATAAAAATTAAAAAAAAACTTACAGCAAATCAATAACAGAATTCCATGTAGATATTTTAAATGAGAACGAAAAATGTTTATTCATTTTGAGGGTCATACATACTGTATGACTTCATTTATATGGAATATCTGAAATCAGCAAATCCACAGAGAAAAAGTAGATAATGGGCTAAAGAGGGGTAGTGGGGATGGGAAGTAAAATTCTAAAGAGCAATGGGTTTCTTTTTGTAGTGATGAAAATGCTCTAAGGTTGATAGTGGTGATGGCTACACAATTCTGTGAATATACTAAAAATCACTGAATTGCATACTTTAAACCAGTGAACTGTATGGTATGTGAATTATATCTCGGTGAAACTGTTAAAAAAGGAATATATGAATGTATAAATACAATGTACACAAGGGCTTAAATTCTAAGAGTATTTTATTGTTATCAATTGAAATGAAGTATAACAAATAATGAAAGTTTTTGAGATTGAAAATAAAAATATATTTTCTATAAAAATATGCTACTTTCATGTAAAAGTATTTATGAAACATTGAAAGTGGGGGTTAATGATTGCCATTTCAAACAAAAATTCAAGAATCATTTCCATTTCAAATATACCAATATTTTAATTTCAAGAAATAATATACCCTTCAAGCGAGAAATATCGCTATTAAAATAGTGCTTAGTATTTCTTACCTGTTGGTGTTCTGTCTTTCTAAGAAGATGTTCTAAAGTTTGTTTTAAATCTTTAAAAGAGTCTAATTCTTTTCTTAATATTTCCTTCTGTTTAGAAATCTTCAAATTGGATGCAGAAAGATCAGTCTGACAAAATATAAGAAGCACATACACATTTTAAGACATAGCATTAAGACACTCTAAAATATACTACTACTATTATCAAAGAATACTTTTCCTAGTAATAAAATCATTCTTTTGCACATAGAAGTAGTAAGATATGCCAGGTTTTTCAGCAGTAAATAGTATATGTTACATGGTTCTAAAGCAAAATGAAATCAAAATAAGGGCTTAAACCCTAAAGTATTTCAGGCATTTATTTTAATAAAACTAATAGAATACAATCTATTTTTTTGTCCTTAACTCAAACTTTAGTACACTGAACTTTTAGAATAGAGGTTTCTATTCCACACAATACTATAGAAAATATATTTCATCTCTCAAGAGTGAAAGTGAAGAGTGAGAGTGAAGAATATTTTAAATTCACTCTTGAGAAAAGTTGACTCTAGTTCAACTCAGGTAAGGCAAGCATCAAGGTACTTTCTAGTCAAGCACCAAGGTACTTTCTAGCTTAGCGTCTCATCAAATACATGCCTGAGATTATCTCTGAGGAAAAGAATTGCAATTAATGACACAGGAATGAAAAACACTAATAAACCTGCATTTTTTATATCAAATACCAGTATGTGAGCATAACTACTACAAGATATGAGACCTCAGTTAATGAATTCTGAGTATTATCCTAGCTTCTCATTTTATTACACATTCACTAGGCAAGTACTCACATTTTCAAAACTAATCTCTTCAATGGTGTCCTTAAATACTGGCAAAAGTAATTCTACAGAACAAGTTGCTAACTCGGCTTCCTTAAATGTTGCTTCCAATTTGGTCTTCTCAATTAGGATGTCCTGCTTTAGGCTAATTAGATATGCACAAATAAACTTTAAGTTAAAGCTGTTACATAAACTAGTTATGCTTTTAATGCAAACAGAGCATAGCATGATTAAATACTACAGTTCCATAAATTGCTCTGCAAAATATAACAGTAAATTTTCACTGAAAATGAATTTTTTCTGTACTTCCATATTTTTTCTACACTTAACTATACATGGAAAGACAGTTTTTAAAATGTTAAGATATGTAAAACACAAAGACTACCAACAGCAATTATCCCTGTGCTATTTGATAATTATTGAACATCTCTTCTCCTGTTTGTAAAATGATTTGTGTGAATGTGCTCGCGTCTTTTTTTCTTCCCTTCCTTCTCCCTTACTCCAAAGCCAAAAGATTTGTCTTCCTAGACCTTATTCCAAAATGCTTTCTTGAAACTTATTGTTTTTCACAAAAAAAATCCTCCAGAGAAATGTGTAAGCTAAACAAATGGAACACAAAAAACTAAACCTCTCCAAATATCTAAAAATCCTTCACATTTGGCTTTATAAAACATTATCATTCAAAACAAAACTGATAATATTTGCTTTCTTGATTACGTTTTACACAGACATTACTGTGTATCACTGTAAGATACATCTTTGGGTATGGGGGCTCACATTTTTACATCCCGAAATTGGGACGCTTCTTACAATCTCTGTCAGTCTGGAAGCAGTCCTTAGCTGTCTTTCCTGTACAGGTCCAGAACTTACAGAAGGAGCATCCAATGTTTTGAAGAACATCCCAGAGATGGGGTACAGCACTTTTTTAACCCGTAACAACAAAGGGTCATAGAGAGGGATTGGAGGAGTTGTTGAAGTAGGAATGTTTAGCAACATTCTAGAAGCAAGACCCCAAGGTAGGCTTGCTGTATATTGTAAGAGCCCATCACCAATAAATTTCATTTCAGTTATAGATGCTCCTAAGAAATACCAGTACATATCACCAATACTCTTAATAGCAAGGATAACTCTGAGTCAAAAAGTAACTCATAAGAGTTGGGCTTTGAGTATAAGGAAGTTTTGAGAATACCTTACCTACTTTATTTCATTCACATTTTATTTTTATATAAGTGCAGAGTTATTTGGACTAAAAATCTATGTATAAGTTTGAAGGAGTTTTTTCAATATTTATAAATAAAATTCCAAGCCATAAGAAAGCATTGTGTCTTTCTTTAATTGACACCTTTTTTCTTTTATGGAACATAATGTAATGGCTCAGCAACAATGAATGGCATCTTAGAGGCTATGTCTCTAAGAAGTAGACTGTATTCTTAAGTACCACTTAAGATGTCTTAAAATGATGGGCCCAATGAAGATGGTTGCTACAAAAGACAGTTATCATTATTAAAAACCATGTACAGAAAGTCAAGAATGATTATATATGACCAAACATCATTTTCATTTAAGCTAAACTAGAAGTTGGACTATAGTATCCATAGCAACAAGCATGGTATTTTAAGACTTATTTTGGGGAGCAATGAGTCGTACAAATAACAAGTGCACTCTGCATACTAAAGAAGCAAAATACGACAGGTATTTGTTAGATAGCAATATCCCAAATGACAGTGAAGTAGTACTCATTAACTAAATTTCCAATATTCCATAGTATTTATATTTTCATTTACATTAGTTAGAAAGATATATACTTTACAAATTTTTTTATAGGTAAGGTTTTCATTTTTAATTGCTTTCACTAAAATTCCAAAATAACTAGGCAAATTCTGCTAAATGAGTACATCTGTAATCAGATTAAATAAATATAAATTACTAGGCTGTTAGATGATATTCTTGAAAGAATGCTGTATTTGATTCAAATAATTTACAGTATGGAAATTTACAGTATGAAACCCTGAAATCAAAAAATTAAGCTATCCCCTGCTATTGTTGAGAATACCAGCTGAGATGACTTTCACTGGCATGCCGTGGTAAATGTTCTTTCTCTGGTATACTTTTAAAATGGGAAAAGAGTTCTTCTGAATGACTTCCATCATTTGTAGGCTTCTCCATAAATTCGGTAAATGGATTTATAGGTGGCTTCCACAACAAGTTCTCCACATAAGCTGAAATCTAGGAAATATTTTAATTATTAAACATCATTTCAGTAGATTCTTTTTTTCTGCTATTACCCAATAAGATAAAAATCCTAAAGATCTGTAAAAGAACAATATTTCACAGACAAACTTGAAATTATAACTGCTACTCACTGTGATACTAATTCAAAATAGTATCAAAATTGCATAGCATAATCATTCAACGATTGCCAACTTCCATACAGTTTCCAAAAGGCCCACTATTTTCTACATACTCACAAGAATGTAGAAATTACTATTAGTCTATTTCTTGAAGTATTATAATAATATCCTAATCCAATCGGACTAGAAAATGGATATAAAAACCACAGAATAACTATCATTCTCAGTTGCATTAGATTTATCCAATAGGAAATGTATGTTATTCATGCCTGTAACAGTAAAAATTTAAGATACTTTTGAAAGTATTTGGCAACAATAGCTACAAAGAAGTTATTTTCTTAAAGTAGACTTTTCAATATTAAATTCATTTATTCCTATAAATAAATCATATTTTTTAAAAAAGCTCAATCTAAGTTATTCTTTGGTGATAATGAATGGACAGATGACATTACTTCTAAGTTTTACTAAATAATCTAATTGTTTTCTCTCAAACTTGGAGATGTCATTTTTAAAATGTGAATATTTATAAATTTCTTCAAAACGATTCCATTTTAAGTAATGAGTTAGTGCTCTGGCAATCATTAAGGCTGTAGTTTTTCAAATCTAATATATGGAAATGTGTCTCCCTAACTTTGTTTATATAAAATCAAATGTCATATTTAAGGTTTTCTGCATTTTTTCAGAGATATTTTACCTCTTTGTAATTTATTTTTATTTATCTGTATCATAAAATACATATGTTCAAGAATTTTCAATACTTTAAGTAGATGTGAAATTAAAGGTTGAAAATTATTCACTATATTTAATTAGCAATTCAGAAATCTTCAAATGTCTGTAAAAATTTATCTATTTTTTTTGTCCAAAGGTTCTGTATACCAGAAAGATAAATATTTAGGATACAGGCCAGTGAAAAGCATCCTCATATTTTTTCAATACTAGAAACTCACATCAAAATGGAAATGTTGAATAAGATACATATAGTCTAAGATGATCTACCTGAATGCTGCAAACACGCATCTGTTATTAGGACATAACAACATTTTGAGCTATTGGTAGCCCAGAAAAATTTAAAACATATGGATACACAAAATCAAATGAAAACCCAAACCTAAATTTGAAGAAGAATATGCTTGGATAAGTCACTGCCATCAAGAAAATTATCATCTACTGATTTGTTCAGTTTTGGTACTTATCTTTTGTCCATTCACTTGTTTAAATATTCGTCTCTCTGTACAATGGAATCTCAAAAAAGAACGTCTTATTTATTGGAATCCTCAGCACCTGTAAGTCTTGTAAAAGCTAAGCAATATTTCAAGGAGAGGACTCAAGGCTTAGAGCAATTAATGAATAAGATGAATAAAGACTGCTGCTTTTTTACTTATCTTTTCAGGGATAATTAAAAGAAAAATAGTTCATATATTTAAAATAAAAGTTCACAAATCAGTGTAAGAGGGTAGAGATCTTCAATTTATTGAAAACATTTTATGAGGTAAGATTCAGTTTGGTATCAGTACTTTAGTTCTTGCTTGGCTTTGTGGGCTATTGGCAGCTATTTATATAATTTTTCTATAAGTTTTGTCACATGACAAAATCATACAACATAAGTAATTGTATCTTATCTTAAAGGGTAAATAAATAAAACTAACATATTATAAAAATAGGGATTTTTAGAATGACTTTTAGCCCAACATTCTAAAATGTATCTTCATTACTGATTTCTCAAAACGTGAAACAGAGAACTGGGTATGTCTCAAATATTTGCATAGAAATTATCAACTATCATATTCTCACAATCTAGAAGTGAATATAGGATAAATATTGTTGAGAGGTTCCAAAGTACTCCACTATTTTTGTGTTGTAACCATACTTTAACCAAAAACATATGTGTGCTGAACAATGTAATAATTTTCTTTAGCAAAAAAAATCCTGCCTTTACAAAAAATGCTATCATTTTGGGAGACCAAATGTATTCTTGAGTGGAAAAGCAGACATTTCACAAGAAAATGTTTTCAATTATGTAGAATAAACTGCCAATTTACAAATGTAATATACTTTTGTATAACTTGTTAGTGGTGAAACAAAGACACATATTCTGCACACATACTTAATGATCAAATCCCTAAAGAATAGCAATTTAAAATATTTTTAATGTTGAAAGAATTAAATTTCCCATACAGAAATGACTTTATCAGTCCCCTACCCAAAAGGCATGTACTTAAAGCTTCTTCCAGGTGTGGTCATGGGTTTATGCTGATCCAGCTACACTCATTTAACTATGTTCCATTTTGGCCAGCAACAAGCATTTGAGGGATGGCTGTTCAGGGACCATGATGCTGGCCATGGTAAGAGAAAAGAAAGATCAGTCCATGACCTTCCGCAGCACCTAGATTGTTCTACATAAACTAACCAGCTCCAAGTATGTATTCAAAACTAATCTCTCTAAAGAGACTAGCATATGAATCTTGCAGATTTCAATTTGTTTTGCCAAACACTAATCCTTGGAAAACTAGCCCCCACTGGCTTGAAACAAAAGCACACAGCTTATACTGAAAAATTCACTATGAAATATTCAGCAAAGAATACCAAGTAGATACAGGAATGTTGCTAATTTCCCACACTAAACACTAGTCAAAAGTTTACTAGAGAAGTAACTGTATGCCTTTTTGGACTCCATAGTGAAAAAAAAAAAGGTATACGAAATTTGGAAGTAGGCAGAGTAAAAATAACCAGAAGTGGAAAACTGAACTTATCAGTAAAGGCTATCAAAACTGGAAAAAACATTTTCTGATATAGAGAGATTAACTTTGAAAAGTAATTAGCTAATGCTTCTGTCCAATGAATAAAGGAATTTAAAAATAAAAGCGTTGCAGATTGGATAATACGGGGGAAAAAAATTGACAGGAAGAGTGACTGATTTGTAAATAAAGGATACATACATACTTTCAAGGCCCAAGTCCTCCCTCCTTCTCAGAATGTTCCTCTGACTGATCCAGCCCACCAAGAATCCTAAACATCTAATAATATTCTCAGAATCATACAGTTTAGAATTTAATTGCTCCATAAATGGTAATATTTTAGTTCTTCTTTAAACTTGCTACTAAATCTGTGAGGGCAAATATACCCATCACCATCTACCCTCAAAAATTAATCAGTGAGAGGCATAGGTTAGGTTCCAATATACAAGTTAGGGTCACCAAATAATTTATTGTTCAAACTGAAACACTTTTGAGAGGAAGCCCCACAGAGAACCCAATTATCCAGAAGACGGGACCAAAGATGTTCAGAACATTGTCTAACCCCAAATAGTCAGCATCCTTTATCAGATAAACATAAAACATTTTCCTTCTCTTCAACAAAAGGACAGCATGACATGCTGCCATTTATTAACAGCATTCACTGACCAAAAACCTACACTGTTGCTATTATCATCTAAAGGCTACTCATTGAAGAAACCAAGTTTTAGAAAACAGCTTGACCAAGATTACAAGTAAGAAAGTGGTGGAACTCAGTTTTGAATGAAAGCCATCAGGTACTGAAATATAAATATAAGAATCTACATAGCTGAAAGTAACATACAAACTTCCCTTTTATAAGAGTGTTTTAGCACTCTTATAAATTCAGTTTATATTAAAAAAAAAGAAAATTGTTCTGTACAAGGAAATGAAGGATGAATAAGATTGAGCTCCTTGAAGGCACAGACTACAAGTCTAAAGAGAGAGCAGTGAGCAGACCACTAAAATCCAGTGTTCTAAAGACTATGACGGGGACTCATCAGGTACTGCAAAAGCAACTGGCAGGATCCTGGGAGACTTCCCAGAGATGGATCCTCAGTAGAGTCCAGAAGAACAAGTTCGAGCTTGGCAAAAGGGAACAGAAAACAGGCATTCCGGATAGAGGGTAAAGTACCAGCAAGAACAAGGAATCATGACGGTACATGATTTGAAAGGGCACGTGGCAAAAGATGAGACTGGACACATGAAAGTAGACACTGTATACCAAGCTCAAGAGCTTGAATTTTTTCCTAAAGGTTAAGACAGACCATTAAATAATTTTAAGCAGGAGAATGACAGATCAGAAGTGCATCTTTAAAAGGTAAGTACAGGGTTTCCCTGGTGGCGCAGTGGTTGAGAGTCTGCCTGCCAATGCGGGGGACGTGGGTGCGTGCCCTGGTCCGGGAAGATCCCACATGCCGCGGAGCGGCTGGGTCCGTGGGCCACGGCCGCTGAGCCTGCGCGTCCGGAGCCTGTGCTCCGCAACGGGAGAGGCCGCAACATTGAGAGGCCTGCGTACCGCAAAAATAAATAAATAAATAAAATAAATAAAAGGTAAGTACAGTGGTGTTTTGGAAAATGGACTCGGCATATGGAGGAGACGAGAGGAGAAGCAGTGATCAGGTTATTAGGGTCCCAAGAGAGATGAAATTCCAACATTCTTTTCCAACAAAAAATTTTGAAGAAATCAAAAGTTGTTGCCACTGGTGATTAAAAAAAAAAAAAAGGAAAACAATGAAGGAATTAGAATACAGGAATAGCAAGAGATAAGTATGGAAAGAAATGATCAAATGTAACCCCTCATTTACCCATGACCATCTGAATGGATTGCTCCACATCTAAGTTGCAGGAAATGATTACTTATCCTTTTAAATACAAAAATTAATTTAGACCAGTTTGAAGAAAATCTTTTAAAAGTATGTCTTATTTCTTCCTTCTCAGAGTACAGATAGACTGAACATAATTTAACCATTCCTGATGACCCAGAGGCAGCATATTAAAAAGAAAGAACACTGGGCCAGATTCATCAGTTCACAGTCCTTATGAGCCACCTGACACAGACAACCCTTAGCTTCAATAGCCCTTTGGTTCTCTCTCCTACAAAATGAGAATAAGCTTTGCCAGCCAAAGCTGTCATGAGGTTTGAACAGAATGAAGTAGAAACACTTACAGGTGGTGAGTTTTGTTTGTTTAATTTAGGACCCCTTTGGTCACTCTGTTGGGGCTGCTTTCCCACCAGGCCTTCTCCTTAATTTTTTTCATTTAAAAAAAAAAAAAAATCGTCCTGAGTCATTCACCATTCCTGAAATTACTTGCAGATCTGAGTTATCTGTATAGAACCAAATCTTAACTTCAAAACAATCCTTTCAAAATCTATTCTTTGCAGAATTATTACAAGTCATTTTCAATGTAGTCAAAAATTGACTGAGTTCTATTAAACCAGAGCCCAGGAGAACAATTATTGACTTCCAACAGAACTGTGCCCAAGGGGATAGATGTTCTGTCAACCTCATTGCTATACCCAGATACTTGGGTCTCAGTCACTTGCACAAACTAAGCAGTGATTAGTAGCAATATAAACAAAGCCATTTTCTCATACCTCTGGGTGTTTGAGATGCAAAAACTATCCTATTAATACACATCAATTGTGAAATTAGAAGAAAATGAGAAGCAAAAAATGGATACCTGGCTGTTAAGGGCCATGACAAACATTGCCGTGACAATCTTATTAAAGCAGAAAGGTATCAAACACATTTTAAAAGCCGACAGGCTTACCGCAGTCTATTCCTTTAACCATAACTAACCAAGTGGTGCTTAAAACTACTCCAAGAACCTCATTCATTCAAAAACACCTGAAACCTTACTATGTGTGAGATGATAGGAAAACTTCGTCTCTGCAAAAGACTTTATCCCAACACCAGCCAAAGTCTGGCTATGGTTTCCTCACTAAACAAGCACCACTTACTGACCACCTACTCAAAACCTGGCACTGGTTAACTTAATCTCTTTTATTACAACCACTCTAAAGTGACTTATCCTCCTCATTTTACAGAAAAGGAAGCTGAAGGCAGTAACGTTAGTGACCTGCCCAAACCACACACTTAAAGGAATTGAGGCTGCACTCTAGGACCCTAGAGAACGAATTATTTCCCCGAGGCCTGGAGTATTCTTTACTTAAGGAGCCCCGGAGCTTACCAGAGTCTGGCACATTATATGGTGGGCATTTTAAAAACAGCCGTATACGTAAGAGAGCACTATTTCGGTAAGCAACGATGCAGTGCCCGGGGCCGGCCGGGTCAGGGCTCCGTCCTGGACAAGCCCACCTCGGCTAAGATCTGCCCTGCTGTCCCAGGGACCACACACTTCCTCGCTGCCTTTCCCAAGCCCAGGCTGTCTGTCTGGGGGGAGAGGACGGTGTAGGCAGAAAGCGGCTGAGTTCAGTTTTGGGTGGACGCGAGGGCCTCTCACTTCCGTGACCCACCTTGGCCACCGCCCCGCCCCCAGAGCTGCCCGCGGTAACTAAGCCTCAGCCATGCAAGCCCAGGAAGCTTGCTTCCCCCTCCAAAAGCACGCCGACGTCCCTACCGCTGCGTCAGTACGTCGCCGTGACGTCAGCCCGCCGCCGCTCCGCTGTGAAAGGGGTCCGCCAGGGCCGCTAAGGCTGACGCTCGGCGAACGTTAGTGTAAGCCGCCCGTGAGCATACCTGTGTTCTCCAGCCCTGGGTCGGCTAGAACGGAGCGGGACGCGGGGGGCAGTGCAGCTGGTGAAAGCTAGGAAGGCAAGGACTCGACGCGGGAAGCAGGCGAACTCCTAGAACGGCTCGCGCTGGCAGAACGCCCAACAAGGTGCAAGCGGCACAAAGCGGAGTTGGTAACCAGCAAATGGCTTCTCTGGCAACGGTCGCCCCGCCCCTTCCGTCGGGCTCGCAGCGGCGCAGCCAATTGGCCGAGCTCGGGAAAGCGAGCGCCGGCGTCTGCTGCTATTGGCAGGAGTGAGGGGGCGGAGCCCGGGAGAGCAGCTTTGTCTTTCTGTTGGTTCTCCCAGTGAACTCCCCCGACCCCGCGACCGTTTGTTTTCCGAGAAGGGTAGCGTTTGTGTGTAGTTACTAAAATCTTAACTGAGTTCAACCAGAAAGGGAAGTAAGGCCGATGGATTCCAAATTTTCTGACACTTGGCTTCCAAGTGTCCTGCTTTTGCTATTTAAAGGAGGAGATTTGAAAAAACCAAGGCAACCGCGACTGGAAGAAAGCTCGTTATAAATGTAAACAGCTAAAATCTGTTTATCTGAGATCATTCCCTGGGCCTATTTTCTCCTGTTAAATGAGGGAACCGGACGGTGATCTCGAAGGCATCTTTCAGGTCACAAATTATTTGTATCTGTGCTACAGCCAGCTGGTATGGTTTATAAACTGAACAAGGCCAGATTCTATTTGGAAAAGTTAAAAAAAAAAAGTTATCTAATGCCTCAACCTAACGTTCAAAATCGTAGGCTATCACATTAGGTTCACAAATAGAGCCACTATCAACTGAGCAGTTTAACCATGGCGTACGTCTTATTGGTTTCACTAAAGAATATTTTCCACTGATGATTCCAGCAATGCTTCCCCCCCCGTCGCCCCCCTCCCCCAGCGCTATGATTGTCCAGCAAAAAGTTCCCCAACCAGTTTATTTATCTCTTGTAAAAATAAAATACAGTGTGTGTGTGTGAAAAAACACATTAGCTTCCCCAACACATTAGCTTCCATATATGCAAATGTTAATAAGCACGGGGAACTGCGGATATACGTACCTACTCTCTCACTGATGGATCATAACTTTCGGCAAGTCAACTAGCTTCTCTGGGCTAGTCCTCTCATCTGCAAAAATAAAAAAGAAAAGAGGAAGAGGACAGGTAGAGTTGGGGGCAAGGAACATAATTCTCGGGATTTTTCTAGCACTAAGCTAGGATTCTAGCTAACCTTGCTAACTTGCCATAATTAGAAAAATAATTGTACACAGATGTTAGGCTGCTGTTAAGAAAAATACTTATTTTAATTAAATTGCATTGGTATTATAAGTTACCACCTGTGTAAGACATTCAAGAGGAAACATTCACAAAATCTCAAAATGATTACATAAGATTCTCAAACTGACTTATTTAACTGAATTGTCCAGGTAAAGTAAATATGGCATCCCTCATCCTCTAAATCTAATCTGTTGCTAAAATCTCGTTGGATAGTGAATTTTGGATAGAAAGATCCCTTATTCCATTTTTTTTTTTGTTTTCTTTTTGTTTGTTTTGGGGTTTTTTTTTGCAGTACACGGGCCTCTGGCCTCTCCCGTTGCGGAGCACAGGCTCTGGACGCGCAGGCTCACCGGCCATGGCTCACGGGCCTAGCGGCTCCGCGGCATGTGGGATCTTCCCGGACCGGGGCAAGAACCCGTGTCCCCTGCATCGGCAGGCGAACTCGCAACCACTGCACCACCAGGGAAGCCCCCCTTATTCCATTTTTACATAAATGGGAAAATAACAGTTCATTCCAGCGCATTCAAAACCCCCAATTTTCCCAAGTATCATTAAACACTTGACCACCTGTGAAACATTCCACCAAGGATTTCTGCATAATTTAAAGCAGAGACCAGCATACTTTTTCTATAAAGGGTCACACATTAAATATTTTAAATTCTGTGGGTTAAGCCTCTGTCATACTTAACTCTGCCACTGTTGCTTAAAAGATGCCATAGAGGATACATAAATACATGGCTTGGCTGTGCTCCAATAAAACTTTTTGTTAAAATAAATTTATTTATTTATTTTTGGCTGCACTGGGTCTTCGTTGCTGCGTGTGGGCTTTCTCTAGTTGCCGTGAGCGGGGGCTACTCTGTTGCAGTGCGTGGGCTTCTCATTGCAGTGGCTTCTCTTGTTGCGGAGCATGGGCTGTAGGCGTGTGGTCTTCAGTACTTAGGGCATGCTGCCTCAGTAGTTGTGGCTCACAGTCTCTAGAGCGCAGGCTCAATAGTTGTGGCACACGGACTTAGTTGCTCCATGGTGTGTGGGATCTTCCCAGACCGGGGCTCAAACCCGTGTCCCCTGCATTAGCAGGCAGTGGTTAAGACCACTGTGCCACCAGGGAAGTCCCTGTGCTCCAGTAAAACTTTATTTACAAAAATAAGTAAAAAATAGGATAGATTTGGCCCACAGGACATGATGTGCAAACTTCTGATATAAAGCATTTAAAATATCAAGTGCCTGAAATCATTAAACTCATTAGTGGGACATTTGTATGTAAGATGCAACAATTCAGTGTTGCATGAAAACTGTGTTTTTCTTCTTCATGACAACAAATGTATGTTATAATGTAAAAATTGCAAACAATGAAATAAAAAGTTAAAAGTTACAGGATGAATAGCAATACTTAGCAAAATAAAAAAGCAATTTAAAAAAGTTTGGTGGTGTAATAAACTGTTTCCAAAATGGCATACAAACAATTCTTCTCATCCCTGTACACAAATCACAAGTGGAGTCTGTTTCCCCTCCTCTTGAATTTGAACAATAGAATGTAGTGAAAGTGATCCGAGACCAGTTCCAGACCTAGGCCCTGAGAGACCTAGCAGGTTCTGCTTTCCTCTCTTGGAAACCAGGTACTATATAAGAAATCCAATTACCCTGCTGTAGAGGGAAACCCATCCAGATCCCAGCTGTTTGAGCCACTCACCTGAGGTGGTAGACCTGTGAGCCAGTTGACTTTCAAGGCACAGCCTTGTTCCCTGAATGCAGCTGTATAAGTGACCCTAGCCAACATCGTGATCCAAGGGGATGCAAGTTGAAACAACTTTAATATTGAGGGGGTAACCTAATATATCCCAGACCACTGGGCCCAAGAAATTTTAGTAAGGTAGCAGAACCCTGAATTGTCATTTTCCCACTCCGAATTGCATGTGTTCTTTCCAGTATGTTTTGGTTTCCTTTTCTTATTTTATCGAACTTAGTGGATTGAAACAAAAACTGTTTTATTTGTTCTGAACTTCTTTGAGAAGTTCAGGCAGGGTTCAGCTGGGTGGTTTTTTTGGTTCATGTGGCAATAGCTGGGGTCTCTCACCAAGTTGAAACCAGATTGCTGCTGAAGCTGGACTAACCAAGATGATTTTATTTATGTCTGGTGACTTGGGTTCACTCAGGAGGCCAGGACCTCTTCCATTCTATCTATTGGTTCTCCATGTGACCGAACTGAGCTTTTTTCATGGCAGCTTCATCCCAAGAGTAAGTGTTCCAAGCAACAAATGCAGAAGCTGCAGCTCTATGGCCACAGAAGTTACACAGAATCACTTATGCTGCATTTTGTTATCTAAAATAAAATAGAGAGTCAGCCCAAATCTGAGGGAAAGAGTAAAACATTCCACCTCTGAATGGGATAGTGTCAAGGTCCATAGAATCTATGGGAAAGACAATTTACTACACAAGGCATCTATGGTATGTGCTATTTCCTGATCATTAGGTCCTATCAGCACAATATCATAAATGTAGTAGACAAAAGTGATGTCCCATAAGTTGAGGAAATCATCACTGTTCCTGCACACTAAATTATGACAGGGAGCTAAAGAATTAACAAAGCCCTTACATAAAGCAATAAATTCTCCCCCATTCTCTCACTTCCAAATGAAAGTGAATGACTTCAGTTGTTTCATGCATATTAGGATGAATAAAAGACATTTTTTAGAGTGATATCTGAACGTTAGGTGTTAAGAATTGTGCTTATTCACCTAATAAAAAGACTACATCTGGATGTAGACCAATTCATCTTAGGCGACCCATTCATCTTCTACACAGGCCAAATGGTAGGTTAAATGCTAGTGTGATGAGAATCATCACCCTGCATTTTTCGAGTCTTCGATGGTGGCACTAATCACTAGAATTTCCCCAGGTATATGGTATTGCTTTGGCTTACTATTTCTGTAGAAAAGACAGTTCTAGGGGCTACCAACTGGTGGTCCTATTTTAATAGCCATGAGTTAAGAAGCCAATGACAAGATATTGTAAGTCCCCACTAAGGTAATGAAGTTTAGGTCTCTCTTTATCAGATCTATCAACTTCTCATTATACAGATCAATTAGGATCCTAGCAGACTGTCCGTCCATTTCATTGTAGGGATATCATGATCAATTATCCACTGTTAAAAATCCTTCTTAGGGGCTTCACTAGTGGTGCAGTGGTTGAGAGTCCGCCTGCTGATGCAGGGGACACGGGTTCGTGCCCCGGTCTGGGAGGATCCCACATGCCGCGGAGTGGCTGGGCCCGTGAGCCATGGCCGCTGAGCCTGCGCGTCTGGAGCCTGTGCTCCGCAGCGGGAGAGGCCACAGCAGTGAGATGCCCGCGTACCGCAGAAAAAAAAAAAAAGATCCCTCTTAGTCAAATGACTATGATTACTACTCTGGCGCTCCTGTCCATTATGGTAACCACCAGTACCTCATCTCTGATGGTTAAATGCAGTCATTTGGTCTCTGCCACTTTTGGATCCTACTATGTCCACTAGGGAATTGGGGATCCCTTTCA